CAGTTGTATTGTTCGTTGTTAAACCTTGCAGTTATGATTATGAGTCTCCCACTGGTGTGACGATGAATACTGGCATGATTTAAGTGCGCTTAACACCAGTCACGTTGTTGTTCGCCAAATTGTAAAACTCGAAAAGAAAAATGAAAGAAAGAAAGGAAAGCGAGATGAAAGCGAATTTTCGTTTTCGAACGGGGAAAGAGACGTTCGTTCGTTTATGGTTTTGTACGATAAGCGGTCGGCGCGAGAGCGACGTCCACCGGAAGCGCGCGTTCTTCGGGGGCGTTCGTTGAACCGCGATAAAACTGTGTAGTACCGGTGTTCCTAACGCTTGACAATTTCATTTGACAATTCGTCGCGGCAAACCACGCGAAGAATACACGCAGTTTCTGTCTTGTAATCCGGGAATAACGACACAATTTGCTCAACGATTGTAAACGAAACCTGTGAAACGAGAACGGCCCAGTCTGCGCGGTCGAGCGCGTCGACCGGGAGACCCGGAGAGACACCATCAGCGTATCCTAATCGAAACAGCTCAATAATCTCTTCCGTTTCTCTCCTCCCGGTCCACGCGTTCGATCGGTGCAATTCGTATTGGGTCGATGCAAAGGTTCAAACGTTTCCTTAGAAGAAATAAGTGATGTTCTCAACTGTCCGCTGGCTGAGCTGAAACACTAAGCGAAAACGAAGAAAGAAGTGTCCTTTATACACGTCACGATTGTTCGGAAACGGATGTTATTTGAAAAAAAAGATTTGTTCGTTAACCACACGTACAACAGGAAACGTCATCAGCTTCTGCATCGACCCAATAGAAGCCTCGCACGTGTTCAGAGACTAATCCTGTGGACACACACGAGGAAGTCTGTTTTTAGATAGACTTTAAGTAACGTTTCCCCGGTTTTGACAGGGATTTTATGTAGTTGAAGAGAAGACGTTGCACAATTTTTACGCTCGTCGAACGCCGACGGTCAGAGTTCGTCGAGAGAGTCCGTCGGAAATGGACAATTGTAGCTAGCGAAAGTATATTGATGAAAATTTTTGTTTGTCGACGAGGAGGGCCACCTCCGCGTCTCAGTTGAACTGAGGGACGCCGGGGTGGCGGCGTGTTCGAAGACGAAGTGTGGATCTAGGATAATCGATTGCGACACTTCGAGACGTTGACGGTTGTCTTCGCTGTTACTAAACTTTCGTCCTTTTAATCTTGATATATGATATATGATATATATATATATATATTATATGTAATGTATTACACGTATAGATACGAATCGGTCTGAACGTTTCCGCAGGATGCTAGGATCCCGATTAGATAGAGAAACGTATCTCTCATGACCCCGACAATCGTTCCTTCTTTCGATCGACTTTTCGCGACTGTTGCGCGTTGTATTTATAGGGTGAGCAATGCGAGAAGGGATTATTTAGTGTCTCTGTTGATACTGTGGATTGAAGGAGATGCTCGGAGCAATTGTACTGTTAGCAGAGTGAATATGGTGGAATGTCTTAATGGTTCTTCTTTTTCTGAATGGTATTGTGTTTTGAGATTTGTGGAGTTGTAGCTGGTGCCAAGATTGAATCGAGTGGTGAAATTGTTTAGAGAATGTGCCGGTATTAATATAGCGACTATTTAGTTATTCAAAGAAAGGAGGCAATGAAAAGGCACCATGAGCAAGTAATAGAAAATGTACAAAAGTGTATAGTATTCTTGGATCAGCCAAAATCTTTATTTTCAACACTTTCACTTTCCGGTTATTTTCTAAATAGTAATTTAGTATTACTAAATCAATTTCTTAACTCCTCAGAGGAGCACCTGCTAGCTTCTAAATAATTGTACAAGAATTTTGGTAGTTCTAGTGTTACAGAAGTTAACTAAATTTCAGTTTATAAATTACAAATTGAGATTTTTAAAATAACGTCAAAGAATTCAATGTAGCATATTTGCTCTTTCAGTACAATTTCTGTCTCGAGTGTTTTCTTCTGTCTTCAGCTGTGACAGACATTCAAATCGTTCTTTCTTGGCTCACCCTGTACGTGGTTCGATCACTATAATTCCATTCGGATGTTGAGAAATAAACAGTAGGAGGCGAGACACCTCGTCTATTAATATTAGGTCGTTCAGGTGCTTGGTACGATCGAGGACGGGCATGTACAACCCTTACGCATTCGTTGGTGAATTCCACTTTTTTAAACCGATGCATTTAGAGCGAAAAAAAT